CATATGAGCGAATGTTTCGATCGATTAGGGCGAACATACCTCTGTCACGATAGAGTACATCAAATCCACCTAATAAAAATATTCATTCAACGATTTAGAGTAGAAAATTTGCTCTATGTGGATAAAAAATCTCTCAGTGATCACCCTACATCTTTTTAATAAAATTTCTTTCCAACAAATTTAAAAAATGTGTCTATCGGACGTTATCGGATGTTATCAGAAAATTAATTTACTATTTATTAAATCACTCATCGGAATATATTCGGAATTATAATAATTTTTTTTACTGCTATATTAAAGAAGAAATATCTGAAAAATAAAAAATGTGTATTCGGTGGATATTAATAACACGTTTACTTAAATCTAAATTCTTTTGTTTAAATAGAATAAATAATTGCTTTCATAAAAAACACAACGGTGCTTTAGGAAAATATATATTTATAAAGATTTATGTATATATATATATATATATATATATATATATATATATTTATATATATTTATTTATAAATATATATTTAAAAAAAAATATATATATTTTTTTTTTTAATATATATTTATAAATATATATATATATAAATATATATATATATAAATATATATTTAAAAATATATATTTTCTCCTTTGAGAGAAATGTTTTCTCAGTGTAAAAAATATATTAGTATAAGTAAATATATTTTTAATATCAAAAAAATATTTCTTATTTTTCAGATATTTTTTCCCTTAACCCCTTCGCTAACACGTTCATTCCACTGTTTGTGCTCCGATGGGCAAAGGAAAAAGTCGGAGAATTTTTTTGAAACTTGGTGTACAGAAGGTTTTTGGGTTGCTGAACACGATTTTGAGGTAAGAATTGTAAATTTCAAAATGGCGGATTCAATATGGCGGATCATATATTCGCAACATAAAACATCTTGTTAGATTCCATTAAAACTCGGTATAGAGGGATTTTCGGGGTTGCTGAATACGACTTTGAGATCAGTATTGTAAAATTCAAAATGGCGGATCTAATATGACGAATTTATGAGAGAATTGTCACAATACTTATCTTTTAGCATACTCAACTCTCCATTTTTTTGTTTTTTTTTTGTAGTTTTGTATTATTTTTCGAATTTATGATCCGTCATATTGGATCCATCATATTGGGTCCGCCATTTTGAATTTTACAACTCTGACCTCAAAATCGTATTCAGCGACCCCAAAAACCCTTCTATATCAAATTTTAATAAAATCGAACAAGATGTTTCATTTTTCGAATATAACGATTCGCCATATTGGATTCACCATTTTGAATTTTACAATTCTGATTTCAAAATCGTATTCAGAGACTCCAAAAAACCCCATATACAGAATATGACAAAATTTGCATCATTGAATTGCAAAATAAATGCATGACGCCGATTGGCATCATTGTCCATCTGGGCACGTTTCTCTTTGATGCCAATTGGCGTCATTGTCAGCGAAGGGGTTAATATAACGTTCCATGAATAATTTTAATTTTTTTATTTACTCATAAAACATTTTATGCAGTTTAAAATAATTATAAATATTATAATTAAAATAATTATAATTATAAAATAATATAGGACCGTTTCATTTAATGATCATATAATAATAACATAAAATTTTGTTTCTTTGCTTTATTCCTAAAATTAATTTATATATATATATATATATATATATATATATATATATATATATATATATATATA